TTCAATTTTCAGCCTTTGACTCATTGACTGACACGCTTACACCATTGAAACTGAAACGAGTTGAACACTATACTTATCTTTATTATTCATAACTCAAGAAAAGGTAAACGAGATAAACTCGAACTTTTTGTATTCAAACTTTTATAGAGGTGAGAATGAGCTGAAGATGATATTTAAATTTGTTATCCAAAAGTCGAGAGGTGTAAACGAACGGAATTCAAACTCTCGTGGTATTCGAGGTTTTACGAAGCCGATTGAGATCAACTCTTTTATCAAAATCGATAAGGCGAAGTTAAAGTTTTAACAAGTTGAACTAAAGCTAAGACTTCAAGAAACTACACAGAAACCCAATTTCTCGAACCTAACGAGAGGTTTTGCGAAGCCGAATGAGATCAGCTCGTTTATTAAAATTTATTTAACCGAACCTAAGTTTTAAAGAACTAAGATTTGAAAAACTACATAGAAGCCCCTATTTCTTGAACCTAACGAGGCGAGAGGTTTTGCGAGGCCGATTGAGATCAATTCGTCTATTAAAATTAACGAATCGAACTTAAGTTTTCACCGAAGCTAAGATTTCAAGAAACTACGTAGAAGCCCCCCTATTTCTCGAATTTAACGAGCCGTCTCGACTCATTAACTAAATGCGCTCGAGCTCGGTTCTGAAGTTAGTAATTGTCTGATCAACCCAGAAGTTCAATAAGCACTTGTATACAGGAGAGGCACATAAATATAACATTGCAGAGCAAACACATTTATCAAATCCAAAATAATCCTGAAATAAATAAACAACATTTGTAAAATAATAAAATTACAATTCTTTGTGTTGTTTCTCAAATCATCAAGAAAAACAAGCACCACCAACTGAAAACCAGTCAAATACACAACAAATGCTACAATTGCATAAAGAAAACTGTACATAACCTCATAAAATGCAGGTATACAAAAAGGAGAAACAAAAAAAGAAAACACACACACACACACACACACACAAACACTTTAATGTTGTCTTTCTCTTCCAACTAAAGAACAATAGCCGAAGGCCTAGGATAACCCGTGTTCCCTCGCGGTTGCTTCGACTGGTTATTAATATTATTATGTCGATTTGGTCGATTGTCCTTTTTCTCATTTTTCAAGGCATCCTTCGAATCCTGAAGCTCTTCCAAGGCTTTCACCACCTCATCCATGTTGGGCCTTAACCGAGCATTCGTGCACAAGCACTCAAGAGCAAGGCCCGCAGCTTTCACTGCCCGGCTCGTCGGGTATTGGGCCTCGAGCCGCGGATCCATGACCCGGAAAATCCGCCGTTTGTTGGTCAGGTAAGGTTTGGCCCAGTCAACCAGATTTTGTTCGCCGGTCGGCCGGTTTTTGTCGATCGCTTTTTTTCCGGTCAGGATTTCAAGAAGGACTACCCCAAAGCTGTACACGTCACTCCTTGCGGTTAAATGGCCTAATTAATCATCATATGATCGTTAAAAAATGGACTCGTTTGATAAATACCAAAAGATAAATGGACACGAAATGGTGCAATGAAAGGATCATATCATAAGCAGATTACATACATAAATCAAGAAAAAAAAAGGGGCTAATGTGTGATTTGTACCTGTTGATAGATACTCGGGAGCTGCATATCCGTAAGTTCCCATCACCCGAGTCGAGACATGACTCTTATCATCAGTGGGCCCGTCCCTCGCCAGCCCGAAATCAGATAGTTTCGCGCTGTAGTTCTGTGTGTTAAGGAAATAAGCACAAAAAAGACGGTCACAATAAGTAAACACAAACATAAGGGGGTAAATTTCAATTCTAATTCATTAATCCTTAAACAAACCGCCAAAAAAGGGAAAAAAAAAAATACTTACCGAATCGAGAAGGATGTTAGAAGCCTTGAAGTCCCGGTAAATTACTTTTATTTCATCGCTATGAAGAAAGGCGAGCCCTCTTGCAGCATCGAGAGCAATCTTCATTCTCAGAGTCCATGGAAGTGGCTGAAAGTACAATCCTCCTGAAAGTACAACACCAACAAAACTTCATCATCACATTTTTCAAGTTGCTTGAAACTTGCTAAGCTTACATAATATAATCCGATGACAGTCATCAAAAGTTTAATCTTCTAGACATTATGGGATTCTGGAAAACACTACATATAAGGCCATTCATAGAAGAACAAAACCGAACTTACTCCTAAATAAATGATTTTCCAAGCTACCCTTCGGCATGAACTCGTACACCAAAAGCCTGTGGTCATCCTCTAAGCAGTAGCCGATTAACTTCACGAGATTCGGATGACTAATTTGCCCCAAATAGTTGATCTCAGCCTATCAACATAACGCATAAATAAAAAGTATAACTTATACACGAAACAAGAACTACACCAATAAAATTTCTAATAAACTACACAAAAGTATCCACATAATATCCTAATCATTCTAACTACAAGCATTCAATAGCCACAAATAATGAAATTTCTCTCGTTTTTTTTAGTTGAATTCATAAAGTCAAAATTTTTACGTACCAACCATTCACAATAAGTTAAATTTCTCTCATTTATTTTAGTTGGATTCATATAGTCAAAATTTTACGTACCAACCATTCACATTAAGTTAAATTTCTCTCTTTTTTTAGTTGAATTCATAAAGTCGAAATTTTTACGTACCAACCATTGACAATAAGTTAAATTTCTCTTTTTTTAGTTGAATTCATAAAGTCGAAATTTTTACGTACCAACCGTTCACATTAAGTTAAATTCTCTCTTTTTTTTTATTGAATTCATAAAGTCGAAATATTTACGTACCATCCATTCACAATAAATCAAAATTTCTCCCTTTCATTTATTCGAATTCACAAAAAAGTCGTTTTCTTTTTTTGTTATTTACGTACCAACCATTCCTTGTGCCCTTGCCACCCATCCTGTTTCAGCCTCTTGACAGCCACAACCATACCCGAGCCGGGCCGTGATGCCGCCAGCGAACTCTCGTCGAGCCACCCTTTGTAAACCGAGCCGAAGCCTCCCTCTCCTAAGACGCTGTCCGGCCGGAAGTTTTTGGTGGCTGTCCTAAGATCGCTAAAGTTGAAGCTTTTAAGGTTTGGTGACTGTAATATGTCGCCTTCGGTTCTGGGAGTTGGGGGCACAGACGATGATGAGGATGTCTTTCGACTCAAGTTACGTAAATTCATCACATCCCCACTCACCATTCTCGACGAGCCCGTGCCTAAAAACGTACATTAAACAGCCCGGATGAAAAATTACATTAGAAATTAACGGGAAATTGAAGGCTAAGCTTAAGAATCTTGAAAATCCCTGAATCTAGATATGTTTTCTTCACAAGTATCAGAAATTTAGCAAGCACAATGTCCTGAGCTTAAAAAACTTGAGAACCCCTTTTAATTAATTCAATAAGGCAAGCAAGTACAACATCCTAAGGACAACAAAATGAAAGAAATCTATTTGAGAACCCCTTTTAATCAACTCAACAAGGCAAGCAAGTACAACATCCTAAGAACAACAAAATGAAACAAAATCTTAAACACTTATTAAGCTTTGTTTTTCAGCTAAAAACACAACAAAATGATGATCACGACTCACAAGTGTTTACTCTATTGATAACCTACAAAATATTTGAAGAAGTCCAAATAATTCAGAACATAAAGTGTACCTGTGTAAGAAGGGCTCTCAGCCTTTATCTGGTTGCTCAAGCAACTCCCCATTTAAACAAGACTCGCAGAAAAAAATAAAACAAACAAGAAAGCCTCCAAAAATATGAAGAAATTAGCCCACAAAGATAAAATCTTCAAGATTCAATTTTTTTCCAAACCCTCGAAGAAGACAACTAAACTTGCTGATTGAAATTTGAAACCAATCAAAAATTCATCAAAACGGCCTCAGATCTGCTGTGAAAACCCACTGAATTTTCTTGTTTTTTTTCACACTTAATCAATTTAGGTGCCAGCCGCCAACCGTACAAGTACCTCACATAAGCGGCTTTAGAATAAAAGTGCACAAAGGGAGCATAAAAGAGAGATCTTGATTTTGAAACAAGCACAAAAAGAAGCAATTTTGAAGCTTAATATCGTGAAAAAAATGGAAATTTTTTTTAAGGTTAGTGGATTTTTATGGAGAGCCAAGTCTTCGTTTTGAGGGGTCAGACATAAAGATGCCTTTTTCGAGACATTTGTGGAGTGTGCAAAACTTGACTTGGTTCTTGGTCTTTCTTTCTCTTTTTTTTT